TAGACCACAGCGCCACATACATAAAACTGCCAGAGAGTCATTACTTCATATTGGGGCTTGATTGCCTGCCAGAGATCATTACATGTGTTATGTCATGTACCCACTGCAGCCGTTTTGTGACTGGTGCCCATTCCAAATGTGCTCACCATCCCTCAAAAGTTGGTGAGCACTGGATTGCAGTCAGGAGTAGTTTTCTGGGGTTTCAGACATGAGGAGATCCCAGAGGTTGAACTGGGACCTTTTGCATGCAGCAAATGTTCTCTACCACTAAGCTAGGGCCCTTCCCCAAATTCATTTAATATAGGACTATCACCTCCCTGTTAGTAAAGTGAGTGTCCCATATGCTGGCAGGCTGGGCACAAAAACAGACCAAGAGAGATAACAAGAGTGGAAGCCTGACCTAGCAGTTGGAGAGGCTATGACTAACATATTTATTCAATTCTCATCTTTGGTGTCTTGTTTCTGTATGGACGCCGGAATGCAATGATATTTCAGTTGCAGAGATAACTCATTGTACATGATTACTGGCAGATATCTTGTAAATATGATCTATGATTTTGGGTTTGCTCTTCTGGTTAATTAAAAAGTTTGATTGACAGATGCAAATGCCTTCTTTTATGAGGAAGCCCAAGAATTCTGCTTTGCAGAATGCTAAATGACTCAAAGGCTGCATTCAAGATAAGGACAAACAATAGCAACAACGAGGACACAATTACTGTTTTATCAACAGTAGAGATAATGATTTCACTTCATGCACACTTTGTACAATTATAGATTTAAGCAGAAGACTACAGAATAAATTTACCCAGTGACTTTATAGTCCAAATTCGTGTTAGGGAACCTTTAATATGAAGCTACAATGGCTTTTTTATTATTATTATGCCACATATAACACATTGTTTTTTTTATTACTGCTAATATTTTGTATTGCGCACAATGGATTTGATCAAAAAGTCCCGTAGGGTACTCTTCCCCCTCTTCCAGAGTGTAACGAGGCTTTATAAGAGACATGGAGCTGCCACTGCTTTGAGTCTTTGTGCTCTCTCGTTCTTATAACATGTACAATAACACAACTGGTCCGGCAAACGCCATACATGCTTTGGTAACAATTCAGATTGGATTCAAGAGGCTGTCCTTGGAAATAATTTGGAAACTACAAACTGGTGCGAGACCTGACAGCCAGAATCTTAAGTGCAACCTTTTTCTTTTTTTAAGATTGCATATTACACTGGTAATTTACTGGTTTGCATTTCCTTTCTGAGTTCAATTCAATTGTTTTGATATTCAAAATCTGACGACCAGGATATTTAAAGGACTGCCCACCCTCAGAATGCAACATACTCAAGGGCCCAGCAGATGCAGCCGACACAAACACGAAACCTCGCCTCATGCTTGGGAATTGCCATCCCAGAGGCTTCCAAATCATAGAATCACAGATTTGGAAGAGTCTTCCAAGGGCCATCTAGTCCAACCCCCTGCAATGATGGAATCACAGCAAAATAATGAAGAGCAGGTAGTATCTGTTGACATTTCCATTCCACCTTAAGGAATAAACATGGGATTCATATGTATCACATGTCTGTTTACATTCCAGTACAGTATGCTGGGAACTTCCGTTGTGTATAGCTTTTGTTTTTAGCTGTTCTCTCTGAGACGACATGCAAGAGAGATGACATGTTTCTTTGTCCTGATTTATGATTAATAAATCTGTAGTCGTAGTATGCTTCCACAAGCCTCACGCCTATTCTGTGTGCACAGTTTGATCTGCTGTTAGTGTGCCCTGGCTCAGAAGCCCATGTCACTGATTTACGTCAGAGCAGAGGTGACGGTCTTCACAGCAGGATAGCTGGAAGGGAACGGCCCAGCGGGGTCTAGTCAGCTGGCCTCTTGGCCCTCTGCATGCCAACAGTATCTCTGTGCATGCAGACTCTTTTCCCTCCTATCTTTGGAGTCTTAGCCCCTCTCCCAGTCATCCTAACAATTCTTAAGATGTTATAAAGATTGAGAGGATAAAGTTCAGCAATGCATAGGTTACACTGGCAAGGCAACCATGTCCTAAACTTCATTCTAGTATTAATGTTTCCTTTCCCCCCTCTTTGTGCTAGTAATAGATGGCATGGATATGTGTGGCACATGGGCTGGCCTGTTGAGAGTTATTTAAATGTGCACCCAACTGATTAGGAGAGGCTATTCATCAGGGGTAGCCAACATGATACTGTCGAAATATCGTTGGCCTGCAGCTTCCATTGCATTGCAGGGGGTTGGACTAGATGACCCTGGAGGTCCCTTCCAACTCTACAATTCTATGATTCCTTCAGCCCCAGCCAGCATGGCCAATGGTTATAATCCAACAATGATTTTACAACATTAGCTCCCCCTTCTAATTCCCCTTTACTATGAATGTGCAGTGGATCTGAATGACTCTTGCATCCCAAAATGAAGCAGGCTGCTTTAGAAAGATTCGCGACTTGCACAAGGCAAAGTGGGATCTCTCTCAAATGTCCTGAACTAGGGGCCTCTGAAGTGATCATTGTTCATTGTTGTGGTTCATTCATAATTTCTGTTCATGGTTGTGGTGGTTTTCAGCCCACAAACGATACATGATTGATGACACCCCCCAACACATTTGCATTGTATTTCCTTTGCACTGAAATGAATGATGCAGAATAACATAACAATGCAACAATGGTGTGACTGATTACATAATACTCTTCCACAGCAGACAGTGAGTCAAATATCATAGCTTTTTTGGAAGCTGAATTGCAGTGGAAAAGAAACAGCAGAGCAGGTGGCGAATATAGTTTGGAGCAGAATTCAATGCCTTCTTACATTCCTAAATCCTCATTTATAAACTGCTTCCCAAAAAATGTTTATGAAGTGGTGTAAATGAGAAGTATTTCTTCTTCTCAGATATAGTAAAAAAATAAATACAAAAATACATCCATAATCTAAAGAATGGATCTCAAAAACATAAAATTGCACAGATTCCGGATAGTATACAATACAAAGTGTGAGGCTTTATAAGTGGGAGAGACATTCATTCATTGCATGTGAGAGAAGGAGCTGACCAGCACTCTTTCAGTTGCTCACAAAATCTTCCGCCACAATCTTTTTGTTTGGCCTTCGAGGTGCCACAAAGTTCTTTTTTGTTTTCGCTGCAACAGACTAACAAGGCAATCCCTGGGGAATGTCAACTAATTGATCCGTCAAGGATAACTTCTGTGCATGCGGAATGTAAATTCAAGACTAATGAATTAATGGTCTTATTTGGGAGATTTAATTTCCGTACCAACCCACTCTGAGTTTCCAGTGACAGTCTGCCAAATAAATGGTGATTCATTAGCACAGCCAGCCAGCAAATGGCAACTTCCCTCACAAAACAGTCAGAGGCACAAATGTAACTTGGCAGAAGCCTCCTGCCATCAATGTGGACAATAATTAGCATGGCTGAACAGAGTTCACTCTCACTTTCCAAAGGTCTCAAATTGTTTGAATTCCTCTTTGGCTTAATAATCCAAATATTTAAATCAGCCTTCTTCTTTTTAATTCAGTATATCAGCCAGAATCCCCATGACAGGCAAATAAAATGAGTGCTTGCGTGTTGTTTATGTGCCAAGCAACAACATCCCTTGCAACCAATTAAAGAATTGAAGATCAGCACCCCCCCCCCAAAGTAACGCGACTGAGCAAGAAATTTGCTTCTGCACATTATTCCAAGCTGAGTGTAGATTTCCCATTTCCCTCATTTATTTATATAGCATTGGCCCACTTAACTCTTTGTAACGACAATCATTTAATGGGTAGAAGCGGCAACCTGCCCAAACAATAAAGCTGCTCTGTGAGAACAATGGCACGTGGTCCGAAATTTTTAGGTAGGCCCTGACCTTCCAAAATGACGTTCATGTAGACTTGGTAGGTCAGCAGCATCCCGGTCTCTAAGATTTCAGGAGCCAAATAAATCTGAGACCTAGGAATGGCCCCTGGTGATGTCACAGGGGCAGGCCCTGGAGATGGAAATTAATTAGGAGAGCAGAGCAGAGCAGAAGAAGATAGACCTCCCTAGAGTGTCTATGCTATAATTTGCAGCCAACTCCCTGGGGCCCTGGGTGCACCCACAAAATTCCCCATGAATGGTCAGGCACCCACAAATTCCAGTGCCAGGGCCATGCCACGCTGCATGGCATCCATGACCCTGGGAACCCACGATCACGAAGGCAAGTTGGCACACGTGTGCTGGGCTGAAGTTTGCAAGCTGCATCCATGGTCTTCTTAATATATATTTTAAAATATTTTTATTATTATTAAAAGCTCTCTTACCCACCTGGAGCGCCAAGTCCTCTGCCTACCAGCTTGAGGAGGCCAGGCAAACTGGAGACTTCAGGTCAGACCTGAGGTCTGGCAACCCAACATGGACATAAGACTTTACACAGACTCCCTTGGAATGCAGTGGAGGTTTTAAAGCAGAGTTTGGGGTTGGCCATCTGTCATGGATGCTTTAGCTGAGATTCCTATGTTGCAGAGGGTTATACTCAATTATCCTTAGGGTACTTTCTCTACAAATCTATGCTTATATGTACAGGAATTCTGTAGCTTTGGGCGCTTTTGATCATTCAAGCTCTCAAAGACCAAAACCTCCAGAAGTAAAAAAATATCATGCTTTAATATAAAATGCCTGATCACTGTGATGATCTCGGGAAGACTCCTACACTTATCTCCCATATATTTAATTTCTACATAAACTAATGTTGTTTTTCCATAGAGTTTGGGACACTGCTGCCGTTGAAACGAGACAGGCGCCTACAATTCTGACATTTCATCGCCTATTGCTATGTGTTTTTAAGAGAATGGATTTGATTCAATGTTGGCCATTCTGTATTTTATGATCATATGATATTGCAATTGTTTTTATTGTACACCGTCATGATATTTGCAAATGTCAAATATGAATTTTCGCATTACCCCTGATTTAAAAATCACGAGGAATTGAATAAGGTTCTCACCTTTCTAACCTCAGTTGCCAGTTGCTGAAGAGAAGGAGATGCGATGGTATGCAAAACTGCCCTGCCCCTTACTGGATCGTGGAGACTCACATACGCCACAGCGTTCCTCTGGAGAACTTCCTTGAGATCCTGAAACAAGCAATCATACTGAATAAGAGGATCACATTTAAGATGTACAATATTCATTTAGTCCCTTGCAAAGGGAAGAAAAGGGGTGGGTGGGTGTGTTGTGTTTTACTACCCACTCCAATTCCCTAAGTAATAATTAACTCATTCCCCCCACCCTCTATAATATCATTTTAGGAACTTCAAAGAACGCCTTTGTTTAATTTCTCTCTAGCAAGGTTATAATTCCTTTTCTCACATCGTCTGTAACAAAATGAAAAACAGGGCCTGAAGGAATTAAGAATCTCTACAGTTCTAAAGCTGAGAATGAAAACATTACATACTGCAAAATAACAGGAAGTTGTTTTATTTAAGAAGGGGAAAAAATCTTAAACTTGCCTCTGACAAGACACCAAACTTCAAATGCAATCAATGACACACTCTCAATGCACTTGATGTTTCAGACCAGGCAACCATTATTTTAGATTTGAATTGCGTCCTTTCTCCAGTGTTGTCACTTTATTATGTTTTTTAAGGCAAAGGGATCTGCATGAGCCACATTTCAATTATTTCCCATTTGCCTTCCCAGTAATGAGCCGCTTGTTCTATGAAGAGGCTCTTTATGCCGAGCAGAAGGGGTGTAACACAATTATGTCTGATGTAAAGATGATTTGAAGTGGAACTAAACAAATTTTGCTTCCAGTCAGTTACAAGGGGCCCTTTTGGTACTTCGCCCCCACCTCCCACAGCTCATTCTAAAAACATCACTCAGTTGCAAGGAAGAGGCTTTTTTTTATTAAAAAAAAATCCACGCATTGCTTATACATGATCCCAAGCAAATCACACCCCTTTCCATTTAGCAATAATTTCAGCACACTTCAACTTTGTTACGGCGGCATCCCCTGTCAAATCTCTCCATTAGAGTTTTACAGCAGCTGCTGACTTCATAAAGCACCTGAGAAGAGCCAGGCCTAAATTTGCTTTTCCACCCTCTTCCCTCTAACCCACAGCGCCACCCGCATCCCAGAGACTACCTTACACAGCGTTTAAAACCAAAATCTCATTTGGATAGAAACTGTTTCTCAGGCGGCTAGTCCTAGTCTTTATAACCCTGTACCTTCTTCCAGAAGGCAGAAGCTGAAAGAGATCATTTCCGGGGTGCACACTATCCTGCACTATCTCTGCAGCTTTCTTATGACACTTGGAAGCATAGATTTGTTCCAAGATGGAAAGAGTGCACCCAATTATTCTCTCCGCAGTCTTTACAACCCTGGACAGCATTGTTTTTCCCCTGACTATGCAGCTCCCAAACCACACACAGAGACCATAAGTTAATACACTCTCAACAGTAAAATGGTAAAATGCCATCAACAGGTCCTTTGAGAGATTGTTTTTCCGGAGGACCTGAGTACAACAGCCTTCTCCCTACCTGTGATTCCCAGCGGCTAGTACCCAGCGATGTGCTGCCTCCAATAGTGGAAGTAATTTGTTGTTGTTGTTGTTGTTTAGTCGTTTAGTCGTGTCCGACTCTTCATGACCCCATGGACCAGAGCACACCAAGCACTCCTGTCTTCCACTGCCTCCTGCAGTTTGGTCAAACTTATGTTGGTAGCTTTGAGAACACTGTCCAACCACCTTGTCCTCTGCTGTCCCCTTGTACCCTCAGTCTTAATACCTTGTGGCTAATAGACATTGATAGCCTTATACTCCTAAATCTCTTGTAAAGGCATCCAAGTCAAAGCAAGACAGGCATTTTTCTTCTAATGATCACCGGCGTGGGGGGTGGTATCCACACTTTTTGCACCGTACTTTCTAGGCACAGATTCACACTTCAAACCTCTGTATCTGTGTGCTCCCCCCTTTTTTTGCCTCACTGCTTTCCCCAGGAATACCTATTCTTTAATGGTAATTCAGGAACAAAGGACAATTCAAAAGGAAGCCTCATTGACCTCTGGGATGAAAGCAGCCCAAGGAGAAGGGGAGGTATCTGGTTTAGCTTCGCCCAGCTGATGTAAGGGGCCTCAGTGACCCATTTCCACCTATGCTGCAGCTACCTGCAATGTTGGGTGGAGGGAGAGAGTATGCACAAGCATCTTACTCCCACCCCCTCTACCTCTCTTTTAAATCAGAACCAGTGAAGGCAGTGAATGTCCTGTGTGAGTATCAGGAGGCGGTTGGGGGATGGATGGTGACTAACAGATTGAGGTTGAATCCTGACAAGACAGAAGTACGGTTTTGGAGGGACAGGGGGCAGGTGGGTGTGGAGGACTCCCTGGTCCTGAATGGGGTAACTGTGCCTCTGATGGACCAGGTGCAAAGCCTGGGGGTCATTTTGGACTCACAGCTGTCCATGGAGGTGCAGGTCAATTCTGTGTCCAGGGCAGCTGTTTACCAGCTCCATCTGGTACGCAGGCTGAGACCCTACCATACCTGCCCGTGGGCTGTCTCGCCAGAGTGGTGCATGCTCTGGTTCTCTCCCGCTTGGACTACTGCAATGTGCTCTACACGGAGATACTTTGAAGGTGACTCAGAAACTACAACTAATTCAGAATGTGGCAGCTAGACTGGTGACTGGCCGTAGCCACCAAGACCATATAGCACTGGTCCTGAAAGACTTACATAGGCTCCCAGTATGTTTCCGAGCACCGTTCAAAGTGTTGGTGCTGACCTTTAAAGCCCTAAACAGCCTCGGTCCAGTATATCTGAAGGAACGTCTCCACCCCCATCGTTCAGCCCGGACACTGAGATCCAGCACCGAGGGCCTTCTGGCGGTTCCCTCATTGCGAGAAGTGAGGTTACAGGGAACCAGACAGAGGGCCTTCTCGGTAGTGGCACCCACCCTGTATAGGATTCTCCTCAACACACACTCACCCTAGAAACCACAGAGAGCAATGTGGCTTGGGACAGGGGGTGAAACCAGCACATTCCTTCCTGTTCTCCCCTTTTCAAATGAGAGGAGGCAGAGCTTTTACACTTCAGCAAGTTCTCCCCTCACTGTGTGCTCATTCCTTCATTCTCATTCCTGTGTGCTCCCGCCTCCACATATTCAAAGATGAGCTACCTTTGTAGCTAGACACAACTATGACTATCAGATGCTATAACCCTTGAAGCCCATTTGATGATATGGCCACAGGCTTTGGGCACATTGATAAAGCTCACTGAGGTAAGGTTGGGCATGAAGTGCTGCCACCCCCACCCCCCTTGATGGCATGGGTGTTGGACATTCCTCTCACCGGCTGCAAATCCGGTGTTCGTATGAAAGGGCCCTATGTGTGCACTGCTGTACCCATGTGCAGATCTCTTCCTCCCAAATGAGCTTCCTGGGACTTCACTTCCCACGTCCCTTGGACCCATTCATGTGAATGCCCAATGGTAATCCGTAGAGATAACTGCATTGTTGACACTTCGCTCAGCTGCAGGAGGGGAAAGGCAGTGCTGCTGAAGCCCCCCTTCACATTTGTATTGTGTGTGTGTGTTAGAGCGAGAGACACACATCCTTTATTCAAGTCAATCAGCATGCTGTAGCTCAAGGAGGCCACGTCACAACATTATTAAATACACTTATGCATGCTGCAAATAGAAAGCAGAAGTCTGAGAGCAACTGTTTACCTTGGTGTGCTCTTTGATTTTAAATAGCTGGGAATGGTAAATTGGGAATCATAAACTGAAGCACCATAATTCACCGCAGTTGAATCAAACTGATAATGCAACAATTCAAAGAAATAATAATATGATAATAGCTATTACAGTTTCATATTATTGATTGTTTTGGATACAGAGGATCACAACAAGCCAGGTAAAACATGTACCTGTTCTGATCCATCTTATTCAAGTGCTCTGATTAAATGTGCCAGTATGTGTTTATCCTTAGTTTTAACATTTTCCCATCCATCTTTTCCTTCTGCCTTGCTTTGTTGTCTGATCTGACAGACAGGCATGTACCAATTAACCACCCACCTAGATTGTCCTTACTGCTTATTTACCCAGTTTCCTCCACCTCACTGATTGACTGAGAAAGGTAGGGACTTCTACCAGATTGACAGATTGTCTCATTAACACTTCTTGTGCCCTCAATGGATTCTGACATACCTCTAGAAAATTATTTTCATCTGGTAGGCTCACCATTCAGTTGACTCTGCTTAGCTTTTGATTGCCACGGAGGAACACTTTAATTGTCTACAAATTGCGGGGGGAACTCTGAAAAGCACTTGTGATTAATTGCTTGCATTGGTGTGAACTAATAGCAGGCAGTGCTCAGTTCCCTTCTACTATTTTTAGGCGTCTCATTCACCTTGTTTACCTTGCTGCTGACTCATCAGTCACCACCGAAAAAATATGAGTCTGTAATGCATTTTTTTAAAAAACGAGATCATCTTCATTTTAGTCAATAAAGCTCTTTGGTAGGCATGCCGGAAACCTTGCAAACATTTCAGTCAACAGACACTCCCAAGGGGCTTAGCTGTTTTGACTAATAGAACACAAGAGTTGGAAGAAAAGGGTCATCTAGTCCAACCCCTGCAATGCAGGAATCTTTTGCCCAACGTGGGTTTCGAACCCATGACCCATCTTTAAACCTTTGAGTTTCTTTCAGATTCTAATTTTTCCAGTTTTAAGTTGTTCTCCCCATTAATTTCCAATTAAAGCCCTCACAGCAATGCTGGACAAAAGATTCCTGCATTGCACCCTCATGGTCCCTTTCAACTCTATGCTTCCTAATGAGGGTACCAGTATAGTGCATAGCTGTCAACCGTCCCTTATGTGGCGGGAAAGTCCCTTATCCCAGCACTGTGTCCTGCTGCTGTCCCTTATTGATGATGTCCCTTAAATTTCCTGGGTTTCAAAGGAAGCAGCTCCTCTCCCTCCCTCCCTGCCGGCCAGGGAGGAGGGAGGCTCCAACTGTGTTGCTTGGCTGCGTTGCTCACCCAATAAGGAGTCTAAGAACGACTGGGGGTGGTGGAGCTTGCGTGCCTTGTGCCGATCAAATCAGCCGCGTTGCCTGGGGACTCGCCTTTGCTCAGCGCTTCCCAGCAGAGAGGTGACGGTGGTTTTCCTTGCTGCATCCCCTTTGCCGGGTTGCTGCGCTGTGGGAACCACCGCTTGAGGCTTTGTTTGGCTGCTGGCTGGGCTTTCTGCCTTTGTCTTGGAGGGGCTCAGAAGTCAAACATACCTGTGCTGGGAAAATCCCTTATTTTGGCTGTTATTCCCTTATTTTCGAGGCTGCTGGTCCCTTATTTTCAAATATGTAAGTTGACAGCTATGGTGTAGTGGTACCTTGGTGTGATGGGATAATGAGCTGCTTGTGCGTAAAATGCAAGTCCCTCAGAGTTTGATCAGGTTCTCAAACCTCTGCCTGTGACGGAGCCCCTCCGGCATGGCTGCGTCAGTCGCTAGCAGAGTCCGAAAGTGGTTGCTTTCGGAATCTCTTCCAACATAAAAGCTCCTTAACGGAAACACGTCTTCTGGACTCTCTGCGTGACAGTTTCCGGCGAGGAGTGGGTGTCCCTATAGGAGGTCCTGAGACCTCCCCACTGTTTTCGCTGGAAGCGTCTCTGAGCCATCCCTCCGACTCACTTTCCCTTGGAGTTCCTTCTCTCCCCCTACTGGTTCCCTCTTCAGCTGCTGCGTCTCTCTCAACCTCAGTGAGCCTTTCCACCTCCTGTCCTTCCGATGGCAGTTCCCTGACACTCGGGTTACAAACACCTCGGGTTGCAAACACTTCGGGTTACAGACTCCACTAACCCGGAAGTAGTACCTCAGGTTAAAAACTTTACCTCAGGATGAGAACAGAAATCGCACGCCGGCGGCACGGCAGCAGTGGGAGGCCCCATTAACTAAAGTGGTACCTCAGGTTAAGAACAGTTTCAGGTTAAGAACAGACCTCCGAAACGAATTAAGTTTGTAATCAGAGGTACCACTGTAGCTCCTTACAGTGCTAGTGTCCAAAGGTGCTGGCCGCTGGTGCTGATCCTTCTGGCAACCCCAGCTTCCCTTGGGTTAAGGACATTGGTAAAAGGCAGCATTTTCTTACCTCTGCCCACTCGTAGGAGCCGATCTTGCCAAACACAGTTTCTCCCCATGAGCAGAAAATGATGGTCCGCTCTGGTCTCCATCCTTTCTTCACTTTCCTCATCAAGGCCTGGATGAATGCAGTCATCACGGCAGTTCCATGAGCCCACTGCTGCCTACTGTAGGCACCTAACGTGCTGTGGTGGCTGCCAACTATTACATATCTATCTGGGGATGGGGAGAAGAAAAAGAATAGGGGGGGGGACACAAGCATTTTGTTGTTGTTGTTAATTAAGCAACACGAGAAATCAGCATTGAAAGCATTACAGTGGTGCCTCGCAAGACGAAATTAATCCGTTCTGCGAGTCTCTTCGTCTTGCGGTTTTTTCGTCTTGCGAAGCACGGCTATTAGCGGCTTAGCAGCTATTAGCGGCTTAGCGGCTTAGCGGCTATTAGCGGCTTTAAGAAAAAGGAAACAAACTCGTAAGAACTCGCAAGATGTTTCGTCTTGCGAAGCAAGCCCATAGGGAAATTCGTCTTGCAGAACGACTCAAAAAACGGAAAACCCTTTCGTCTAGTGAGTTTTTCGTCTTGCGAGGCATTCGTCTTGCGGGGCACCACTGTAATTGTATTGGTGAACTTTCCCATTTTTGCCCAGCTGCATCGCATCTGCTGTGCACCACTGAAATCAGCCGGCTTCAAGATGTCTGATCATGAGAAAGCAAAAGCTTCATACCTGTTAAGCCTTAGTTAGATTTTGGCTACTTGGTACCCTGATCCTAATCAGAGATGCAAACATATTTGCCTGCTGTGCCAGCCTAATGTTGTAGCTCGCAGAACAGAACTCTTCTGAGTACCTCATCTTCGGAACTTATCTGTTGTCACTGAAGATTGAGCAGGTTTCAGAAACGACTGAAACTGATAGAACTGGAGTAAGCAATTACACTTAAATTCATGGCTGTGCCTCAGGGAGTAAACCAAAATGAGCATATCTGAACTCTATGTGACACTGTGGGCTGTTGCCTTCTCTGCTCTAAAGCATCCCCTCCAGATGTTTTGGCCCACAACTCCCATGATCCCTAGCTAACAGGACCAGTGGTCAGGGATGATGGGAACTGTAGTCCAAAACATCTGGAGGGCTGAAGGTTGGGGATGCCTGCTCTAAAGGCACTGAAGTTGTTATAGGAACATAAGAAGAGCCCTTATGTGGAGAATATTTGGGCCCCAGATGTCGTCAGAGCAGAGCATGAGCAGCGGGGGCGCTGTATGTTAGCATCACACAGGGCACCGCTGAAAATTCAGAGCCCACCGCCTGCCAATGCCTATAGAACTACAGCCTGGTAAAATTCATTAGTCTTGTCAAAACCCTTTAGAAATCCCTCAGACTTGTCACCTCAGCAGGTAATGTCAAGCTGCCTCCAGATTTCACTTCAAGAGACTGTAGGTGGCAACCGTAGCTTTAAAGCCCATCAAAAAGGAATGACTTTAAAATCCCCTGCCCAGCCTCAAATTGTTCTGGTACATTTGCTTGGAAACATAATATTTATGTCTGTCATGATGATTCTAGTCTAACAACAGTCTAGCATAAAAAGCCCCTTTCTTAAATAAAGAAAAGTTAAAGGGTATTCGTATTTTTATTCTTATCTGAAGTTACTCACACATCCCTGCTGGCAACATGTTGGCGTGTGCTGGGGAAGTCTGTATAGCAAATTGTCTGTACATTAAATTGTCTATGAAATTACATATTCCTCAGGGTTTTTACCCCCCCTGCGATTACTACTTATGAACGTTTTTTAATTGGGCACACACAGTCTGATTGACAAATTTCCCTGGTAGTTCTCCTCACTGCAATAACACTGTAGAAGAATTTTAGACACAATCTGCAATGAGCTTTAACTGGTGCAAGAATCAATAGACTGGAGTTCAGAGGATTTTGTCGTCGTTGTTACTTTATATAATATATGAAACTAACAGTGTATAAGTGTCCATATTTTCCCCCATAATGTCTAGGCCGCAAGAGAACAGTACAGAACAAGAATTTGGGTGGCATTCAGCTAAGTTTTAGTCAGAGTGGACCTGTCAAAATCAATGAACGTGACTAAGTTAGGTCTATTAATTTCGGTGCCTCTGCTCTGAGTATAAAACTTAGCTGAGTGCTGCCTGAAATATACCAATCTGGGGGGAAAGATGGAACCTTTTTAAAAAATATGGAACACTTATTATTGTTCAATATGAGGGAATGGTTGGATACAAAGTTGATGTGTTTGAATATAGAAAAAAATATCACTGGCATTTATTAATAATAATAATAATTAGAGATCCCATTTTGGACTTCTAGTGTAAGAAGGAAAATGAATTAACCTATTTGGGTCAGGAGGTTGGGAAAATATTGCCTTACAGAAAGTAGATCCTCTGGGAGTTATTCTATAGTGATTATTTCGAATAATTTCTTTTATGTAACTGACGGAGGGAAAATGGGAAGTCCTTTTTAATTTTCTTCCCATTTTTTTCTTTTCTTTTCTTTTCTTTTTTGGTTTTTTTGTGGTATTTTCTTTTCTCTTTGTTTTTATTTAGATTGCTTTGTTTTGTTTTTACTTTATTGTATTATGGAAAACCTTTAATAAACTCCTATTTTTAAGAAAATGAAAATTAAAGTAATGAAATTTAGATAACATGCAGCACTCAGTGATTCCTAGACCAATGAGGTCTTGCCCTGTCAAGCTCAGTCTGCCCCCAGTCATTCCCCACACAACTGCCTTCTTATTTTCAACCACTCCAGGTGGCAGACTAAAGATATACGTACCAGGAATTGTGGCTCCTTTTAAGTATGCAATGACGTTGGATATTGTTTTGTATGTTGGTTGTGTTTGAACTTCCAGTGTCACGGTTCTTCTTTCTGCTAAGAGAGAAAGAACATATGTTTGAGATAATAATAATAATAATAATAATAATAATAATAATAATAATAATAATAATAATTTATTTATACCCTGCCCATCTGGCTGGGCTTCCCCAGCCACTCTGAGCAGCATCCAGCCACAAAACACTTAGAAAAACCTTCACTTAAGTGGTTCCATTTTGGCTACATAAGTGACAGCACCCACAGCCTGATTATGAGAAAAATGAGAAGGAGCAAAGGAACACCTGCAACAAAACGCTGCAGTGTGAAGCGCTTGTTTTTGGGGTCCCAGCCCCTCCCATCTGCTCCCCAGTCAATCAGCATTCTGGGTCCACTATGTATGTTTATTAGGCTCTGCAGTTTTTGGTTTTGGTTTTTTGTTGTTATTGTTGTGTTGAACACCCTGCTGCCCAATCCAGGTACAGTGGTACCTCGGGTTACATACGCTTCAGGCTACATATGCTTCAGGTTACAGACTCTGCTAACCCAGAAATATTACTCAGGTTAAGAACTTTGCTTCAGGATGAGAACAGAAATCACGCGGAGGCACGGCAGCAGCAGCAGCAGCAGGAGCCCCATTAGCTAAAGTGGTACCTCAGGTTAAGAACAGTTTCAGGTTAAGAACGGACCTCCGGAATGAATTAAGTATGTAACCAGAGGTACCACTGTATATTAAAATCTCGGATTTCCATGCTGTTTCCTATGGCCTATTCTCCAGAAGCATCTTGTCACATGCGGCAGAGCTGCTACACTCACTTCCTTGTGGCTGGCTTGATGTTGCTTACAGGGAGGGAGAGGGTAAATAGTGAGGAAATAGGGGGATCAGGGCAAGGCAAACATGCCAGCACAGCCAATCTGGGGCTCCTGCCAATGCATTTGCACCATGCTGACTTCCTCCCATGAACTAGCAGTGAACCCACCAGCTAGGAAGATAGCATAGTGGCTCCGCCACACCCAGTATGATCCAGGAAGCGGCCTACCCATAGAATGAGGTTATCTCAAGGCCTTTTATATCTATATGTCTCTTCTTTCCAGCCAACCCAGTTTTCCCTCCCTGCTGCCTCAACAGTTAGTCCAGGCTTCCTCAAACTTAGCCCTCCAGATGCTTTTGGCCTACAACTCCCATGATCCCTAGCTAGCAGGACCAGTTGTCAGGGGCGATGGAATTGTAGTCTCAAAACATCCGGAGGGCCGAGTTTGAGGAAGCCTGAGTTAGTCAATGCCCCATGGATCCTGAGCATGCTCAGTCTGCGCTGGACTCTTCTGGGTTCCTCCTCCTTCGTTCTGTTCAAACAAGCAGCAATGTTTAATTAATACTTTACTAAGAGGAAGAACAGAGCCACAATGGGGTTTCTGGGAGGGGGATTCCTTCTTGAATTATAAATGTAGTTTCTCTTTTCCCCTCCTGCTTTAACCAGTATTAACTGATGGTGTTAAGTAAAGTTCCATATTACACTTTATAGTCATCTCTGTCTTCCTTGAGGTGAGACACAGAACCTTTTCTGCAACAAGCCCCCTGCTACTTTAAAACTCCAAAATTTAATGTTTCTCTGCAAACCTCAGAGCTACCACAGTCTGACAATACCTCCCTTTTCGAACATCACTGTCGCCAGTTTGGCAGTCGAGAGAAGAGCAGTCGAGAGAAGAGAATGGGAACTGGAATGTAGGATGGTGTATGTATCAAAAGTCATGGAACCAATGGGAAGATGTGGGAAGAATCAGAGGCAATTATTTCGCTGGCTGTTCCTCCTCAGCCAACCCCAGTCAGCTCATTTTCTGGTCTCGTTCCAGAAGCACACAGAAATGTTTCCACCGAGAGAATATTGCAACAAGGAAAATAACCCGTCCCTCTGTCTTTGTCAAAAGGGCTTTCAAGTTCATGTTCCCAGCATTTGACTAATGAGTTTGTTTTAAAAATTAATTAAAACTAATATCTTTTTTTTCTTCTTTTACCTCTCGGGCTGAGAAAACAAATGACCTCATTACGGGCTGAAACGGGAGCAATAGCAAATAGACTTTTCCTCCCCCCAGCTTCAGAGAAATGTTAATAATAATACAACAGGCAAGCCACGATACTGAAGTTCTTAGCATGAATGCCAATAATGTTAGTAGGGATTTCGCCTGCGCATAGATTCACGATGCACACAGATTCACCCCACCAAGCCTGGGGTTTGGATGGGGTCAGACAAAGATCATCAATCTTGTGGTTCAGATTTGTCTGTGTGCCTGGCTGTGTATTTATTTATTTTTATTTATAAAATATACCGCCCCCTTACAAAACACCAGGGTAGTGTGCAGCTATATAAAACCATTAAAAATGGTACAAACACAGTATATGGTCCCATCTTCACTATACATTCAAAGCAGTATCGTACAACTTTGAGCTGTCATGGCTTGACCCAAACAATCCTGAAAAGTGTAGTTTTGCTAAGGATGCTGAGAGTTGTTAGGAGGGCCCTATTTCCCTCACAGAGCTACATTTCAGACTGACAGAGCCTCCAAGTCTCCCTATTTTCCTGGATTTACAGAAGCTGTCCCGGTTTCTGATTTGATTCCTATGGATATCCCCATTTTCATCAAAGAAATGTTGGAAAGTATGGTAGGACGTCCCTCTTTTCATCAGAGAAATGTTGGAGGGCTTGGAGTTAAGCAACCCCCAAGCCAAAGAGAGAAGTAACTATACAAACTTTAGAAGACATCTAAAGGCAGCCCTGTATAGGGAATTGTTTTAATTATGTTTTTATATATGTTGGAAGCCACCAAAGTAGCTGGGGCAACCCAGTCAGATGGGTGGAGTATTAATAATAAAATCGTTGTTGTTGTTGAATAGGACGTCCCTATTTTCGTCAGATAAATGTTAGACTCTAACAGTTAGAGGGTATGGAGTACGGTAATGGTTAAACCATCATGAGTAGTTCTGTCAGGGGAACAAGGGTCTCGTTTAAGTGAAGCTCTGAACATTTCCATGTCAATATTCAATTTTTTAAAGGAAAAAATATCAAAATTCATCAGCAACATTTACCCTAATATACCGTATTTTTCGCCCCATAGGATGCACCGCCCCATAGGATTTTTTGCCCCTCGGGATGCAGGCTGCCGCCCCAAGCCTTGCGCGCCCGGTGGGACTTCCCGCCGGGCGCGGGAGGCTTGCGGACACCTTCCCGAAGCACGGGGCGTCCTCCGGAGGGCGCCCCGTGCTCCGGGCTGCAGGCTGCTGCCCGCAAGCCTTGCAAGCCCGCGGGAGGTCCCCCCGGGCTCGCAAGGCTTGCGGATAGCTTCCTGAAGCCTGGAGAGCGAGAGGGGTCGGTGCGCACCGATGTCTCTCGCTCTCCAGGCTTCAGCGAAAGCCTGCATTCACCCCATAGGACGCACACATATTTCCCCTTCATTTTTGACGGGGAAAAAGTGCGTCCTATAGGGCGAAAAATACGGTATACATTTTTAATGGAATTTTGCCTGATTCACAAACTTTGCAAACAATTTCCCTAGTGCGTGCAATTCCCCCTGAGAGTGATGGGAACTGATGTTGCACTATCACTGTCCAGATGATTTTTCAGGGAGGGGGGAGGAGAATGAATGCTCCCCATGGATCTAAGGAGCAATGATTCCCCCCCCCCCCATGCAATCATGGTATGGGAATATCAGCTGCATTTTAAACAGGCACAGCAAGATGATTTAGCTAAGTAGACCCACCAGGATTACTCATGTGGCCTTGAAAGCCCTTGTGGCCAGACCAGACCTATCTGGTTAGCACCTGGGTCAGGTAAAAATGTGGCTGGGCCAGAAGCAAGGTTGCAGCTTTACCCCATATCGTAGCTGGGTGCACAACTCTTTGCAATCAGACAATGCCATGGCTTGCAGAGAGCTGCACACAGAGCTTTGCAAGCACTGAAAATCAGTTGATTGACTAGCTGCATCAGGTAGTAGCTTTCTGTAAGAACAAATTTTTTTTGCATCCATCTCCAATCCGCAGATTGGTTGGGATGTGTAGATGAGATGAGTCCACTTCTGAAACTGAATTTCTCCCCCGTCCCTATTGCTGCAACAGTTACAGAAGAAGAGGGGAAATAGAACCCAATTTTGATGGCCACACCATGCCTTCTTCAATGGTCATTTCATCCTTAAATGGTTAGTAATGAAAGAGAATGTTCTCCACCGGCAAGCGGTATGTTCTGGAATCAGATAATAAAATGAATGGGCACATTGTACAGTAACATTGCTTGGTTTAAAGGCTTAGTGCGCCTAACAAAAGGCTCAAAGAGCTCTCAATGGAGTATGGAAAAGGAGTAAAATTTAATTTCCCTTAAACAGTTCTGACAACAAATCTCACTTTCCACTGTTAGACGTCCGATGAAAGACTTTAAAGGTCTTGACAACTTTATCTCTGTCTACTTTATGCTCTGGAAAGTGACAGGGAGACTTTAGCTTAATGCGGCTTGAAATATTCTCTAAACTTTATCTAAGCCATAAAGCTACTTCACGACTAAAAGAACAGAAAGGGATTACTCTTATCATTAACAGTTCCAGTTTGGCCCCATCTTCCTGAGCCCTTTTTACTTCAAAATCCATTAGCCGATGCATAACGAACACACGTGGCCTCATGTTCCTTTGTCACTGTTGTACACAGTGCATATCTGTGGCTGCACATGGATAGCACTGAGGGCCCAAATTGTGTAGGAAACGTATCATGTGATATGTCAGAGGTGGGTCTCCAAATGTTGGACTACAACTCCCATCATCCCTGATTATTGACATTTGCTCAGCTAATGGGAACGGACACTCAGACCCATTAAGTTGCCTGCTGATGTGGCATGTCCTTTATGTGCCTATATATGTTGTCCAGGGTTGTAAAGACTGCAGAGAGAATAATTGGGTGCACTCTTCCCACCTTGGATCAAATCTATGCTTCCAGGTGCCATAAGAAAGCTGCAGAGATAGTGCAGGATAGTGCGCACCCCGGAAATGATCTCTTTCAGCTTCTGCCTTCTGGAAGAAGGTATAGGGTTATAAAGACTAGGACTAGCCGTCTGAGAAACAGTTTCTATTCAAATGTGATTTTGGTTTTAAACACAGTGTAAGGTAGTCTCTATGGGAGTATATTGTATTTAATTATGGGGTATCAGAGTTTTTAGGGGGCTAAACAGGCTGGGATAGCAGGCTTGTTGGTTTCTGAATGTCTGATGTAGATTTTTCAATTTTGTTGTTCTGTATGGGACAATGACAATAAAGATTATCGTATCGTATCGTATCGTATGGTTCAAATTGTTCCAAACCATGTGGTTGTCTCATGCACACATCTTATCATGTAGTTGCTCCTATAAATGTGGTCTCTTACTGTGGGTTTGTGTGGTGTGGGGTGGGGCAGCGCAGGCTATAGCCTGCATTAATAATAATAATAATAATAATAATAATAATAATAATAATAATAATAACTATTTTTTCTAGTGCTGTGGAACATGGTAGGAAATTAAATGTGTCATTAGATCTGACTGCCCAGTGCCACCACATCCAGAGAACCCACAGCTGGGACCCACTGACAGAGGAGGAGTCCCACAAGACCAAATGATGCTCAGGACTACCACAAACCGAAGAGCCGTTTACAGGTGATAAACAGACAAGCACCCACATTGCAAAACTCCATGATTTGGTGAGATTCAATATAGCTTGACTGGATGTCTTCTCATGCAGTGGGGGTTCTACTCTCCCCGGCAGCTACCGTATTCCCCCAAAATATGTTCAGGAAGATTGGGGGACCATCTGGAGCAGATGGCGGGGCATGCAGGTAGCTGATAAACCGGAAGTCTCATTGTGTGAGTGGATTTCCGTTGCATAAGCCATTTATCATTGCATCCCTCCCAGTGTGTAGTTTGGGGAACTTTATGACTGAGCAAGGATATGAATTAACATCCTTGCAAATCCGGAATTCTCCCCAGTACATCACTGGGAGCCTCCTTCTCTCATAAAGATAGATAGATGCATAGATTATTTTTTTAAATCTATGTATTAAATCTTCTAATTCAATAAGTTAAAAGTGTATCAGTTTCATATGCTTTTTAATAGCGGGGATTTCTTTTAGGAATAATTACAGTGGTACTTCGGGTTACAGCCGCTTCAGGTTACGCGATTTCAGGTTGCACACCGCACCGAACCCAGAAGTACCGGAACGGGTTACTTCCAGGTTTCAGCATTCACGCATGCACAGAAGCACTAAACTGCACTTTGCACAAGCGCCAAATTATGACCCATGTGGCGCTGCGGGTTGCAAACGTGCCTCCCGCATGGATCACGTTCGCCACCTGAGGTTGCACTGTAATGCTAATAATAAACAGTTTCTTACACTGTTGAAAATACACAAACAACTTTACTTAATTAGTTTCCATTGCTTTATCCTGGTACCTTTTTCATCTCGGAAATTGATCCCATCCACATTTTGACTCAAATCTGGAAAGAATTTGTAACCCAAGGTTTGTAAAAGAGAAATGGATGCTATCTATGTAGCAGGCCAGCCTGATAGGGGAATATTCCACACTGCATCATTAATACAGTGCATTTATCTCTGCAAAATTAATTCTTGCTTAGCAGTGTATCAAATAGTCTATGAAGAAAGTTAATTGTGAATCAATGGCTGCAGACAGAATGCTGAATATACTGTAAACTTTCTCATGCAATGCCTTATTTAGCACAGCTGATGAATGACTGGAAGTTGCTGCAGTACGAACTTGCTCTTCTGTCACCTTTTGCATGGAAGTGATTGATCCCTTGGACACTGTTTGTTTAATTTGATTTATCTGTTCTCCACCCTCCTCTAAATAAATCTGGATTGATTTTTAAGACCTTTCGCTGTTCAACAGCATAAGCTGGTGTGGTTTTCCTCATAAATATAATATACACTCCTTTCGGGCCTGGACAGAAATTGATACCACATCCCCACCCCAAAAGAAACTATGTGATTACTGAAAGACACAAGAAACTATGTGATTACTGAAAGACATGAGGCTCTGCATGGCTCTGCGAAACAGAACTGCCCTTCCTCAGTCCCCAGCAGCGGGGATGGTAGAGACAAAACTCGAATTGCTTAGCTCTGGCTGTCATTGGCTGAGGCTCCACCAGTCATTGGCCTCACTGATTTCTACCCCACCAGTCCCAATGGCCACCACCCACCCACTGGCAAAAGGTATTTCTCCTTCCCCAAACCTGTATCTTTCAGTTTCTTGCCTATCACTCCGGATAGATTTGAAGCACATTGGTGCCATCTCAGGGTATGGATAGATGTACCAGATGGAATGTAACATCGCCATATATCCTCACTGAAAACCTTTCTGCCAGGCCTATAGCCTGGATAAGTGGAGACTGAGAGGAGGTATGACAGCTGTCTTCAAATACCCAAAGCCCTGCCACATGGAAAATGGAGAAAGCTTGTTTTCTGCTGCTCTGGAGGGCATGACCCAAACCAATGGTTTCAAGTAATAAGAAAAGAAATTCTGACTAAACATCAGGACTAACATAATAAAAAAAATTAATAATAATATTAATATTAACAACAACAACAACAATAATGCATTTATTTAAACCCTGCCCATCTGGCTGGGTTTCCCAAGCCACGCTGGGCGGCTTCCAACAGAATATTAAAATACCATAGTTTATTAAATATTAAAGGGTTCCCTAAACAGGGCTGCCTTCAGATGTCATCTAAAAAGTCTGGGAGTTGTTGTTCTCTTTGACATCTGGTGGGAGGGCATTCCCCAGGGCAGGCGCCACTACCGAGAAGGCCCTCTGCCTGGTTCCCTGTAACTTGGCTTGTTGCAGTGAGGGAACCGCCAGAAGGGCTTGGCCCTGGACCTTAGTGTCTGGGCAGAACGATGGGGGTGGAGACGCTCCTTCAGGTATACTGGGCCGAGACCGTTTAGGGATTTAAAGGTCAGCACCAACACTTTGAATTGTGCTCGGAAACGTACTGGGAGCCAGTGTAGGTCTTTCAAGACCGGTGTTATATGGTCTCGGCGGCCACTCCCAGTCACCAGTCTAGCTGCTGCATTCTGGATTAGTTGTCGTTTCCGGGTCACCTTCAAAGGTAGCTCCACATAGAGCGCATTGCAGTAGTCCAAGCGGGAGAAAACCAGAGCATGCACTACTCTTGTGAGACAGTCCGCGGGCAGGTAGGGTCTCAGCCTGCGTTCCAGATGGAGCTGATAAACAGCTGCCCTGGACACAGAATTGACATGCGCCTCCATGGACAGCTGTGACCGTAAGAGATGTTTGACAGTGGAACAGTCTCCCTCAGAGTTGTGGCCCTCCTTCCTTGGAGATTTTTAAGCAGAGGCTGGATGGCCATCTGCCATGTATGATCTAGTTGAGGTTGCTGCATTGCAAGGGATTGGACTAGATGACCCCCAGGATCCCTTCCAACTTTAAAATGCTGTGATCTGCTGCCTTTCCTTGAGTGTATGATGCTTCCCAAAACTTTCAGATGTGAACACCTTTCACCAAATTCTGCTCAATGCATTTCTGCCTCTGTGTTGTCAGATTTATTTATTTTTACCCTAAGTGAAACATGCCCCCTTATGATATACAAACACCCACACACAGAGGTGCAAACACAGCACTCTATTTCCTGCAATGTGATACAAATGAAAGTGTACACAAACAGAGCTATTTGTAGAGAGCTTAGTAGATATGCTGGAGGCACACACTCGGGGGGAGAAAACGTGAGGAAAGCCAACTCTTTAATGCTCTCCTGGTGCCTTAAACGCTTCCCTGATATCGTATGTTGTCCAACAAGGCCTAACAAACGGCACTGCAGCTACAGAAGCCTCTCTTGGGTGAATCGGAGGGATCTTCTCAGTCAATAGCATGAATTAGACTTTAATGCCATGTGCTGAGAGACGTGGCACTCCAGATATCTGACTTGCATCAGTTAGATCTTGGCAGATGCAACAAACAATGAGACAGGTATGTGTAAGCTTTGTGAATTTTTGTGTATTTTTAAACGAGTTTGTGAAATACTTTCTCTCCCCCCTCCCCATTAACATCATTCTTCTTATCAGCGGCTCTTCAGAACGTTCTGAGCTCAATCTCAGCAAGCTCTTCAGAGTGTAATTGATATATATTTTCTCTCTCTCTCCTCGCATCTTCTTAAAGTGCTGCTAAAGGAATGTACCTGCAATTGGTCAAAGCCCCCAATTATACACAATTACGCGTAATGCAATTTCAAGGGCTTACGGAAGTTCTGAATTTAAAGAGGATCGTCATTCTGACAGAGAGAGAGAGAGAGAGAGAGAGAGAGAGAGAGAGAGAGAGAGAGACTGTTACCTGTAGCCAGCAATTCCAGGGGTTCGCAATCTTCATTTCCACCAGCCTTCTCGGGGGAAGAGAACAGCTTCCTCACCAGTGCCGCACAAATAGGCTGGACTAATAGAGAAGTGAGGTTCGATCGGTTCTGTTTATAGCTTCCATCTTCAAGGAGAGTTGAGGGGGTAAAGAGAACAACTTAGTATACGACAATAAAACCTTTCTCTAGATCAGTGCATTTGAACAGTTCACGGACAGAACATGCCACTCTGATTCCATGACAGGCCTTCCATGATGGGCACTTTTGGATTTCTGAGAAATGTTTTCTGGCAGTAAGAGCTGTTTGACCGTGGAACGGTCCCCCTCAGCTGGTGGTGGACTCTCGTTCCTTGGAGGTTTTTAAGCAGAGGCTGGGTGGATATCTTTCATGGGTGCTGAGATTGAACTGCATTGCAGGGGGCTGAACTGGGAGACCTTTGAGGTCCCTTCCAAGTTTACAAGTCTATGATTCTAATCAGATGCCTGTAGGAAACCTGTAAGCAGGCCATATGCCCAGCAACTGGTAATCAGAAGCATACAGCCTCCTACCATGGAGGCAAAGCACAGCCATCATAGCTATTCATAGCCTTTACCTCCATGAATTTGTCCTATCCTCTGCTGAAGCCACCCAAGTTGGTGGCCATCACTGCCTCCTTTGGAAGTGAACACTGCATTTTAACAATCTGCTGTGTGAAGGCACACAGTCTTCAAACAAAAACATCTTGGAGGTCCCGGGCCACAGGGAAGTTAGGCTGGCCTCAACCAGAGCCAGGGCTTTTTCGGCCATGGCCCCGATCTGGTGGAACGCTCTGTCACAAGAGACTAGGGTCCTGCAGGACTTGACATCTTTCCACAGGGCCTGCAAGACAGAGCTGTTCCGCCAGGCCTTTGGCCAAGGCACAGCCTGACCCCCTCCTTTGGTAATCCTCATAGAACTCTGGCCCAATGGTTGCCAATAATTTGATTCTGAATTGATTTCAGAATGAATTGATTTTAGAATGTATTTCAATTAATTGATTATGATTTTATGTAAACTGTAATACTTTCACTGTTGTTATCCGCTCTAAGCCTAGCTTCGGCTGGAGAGGGTGGGATATAAATAAATTATTATTATTATTATTATTATTATTATTATTATTATTATTATTATTATTATTATTGCAAAAAAGAGGATGCCATGACAGCCATTCAAAGCAAATAAATGCAATTTGTACCCCTGAGAAAGAGGATGTGTCCTGGAAAAAGGCAAGTCCCCTTGTGACCACGGAGCAGAAACGAAACTCCTCCTCCTTCTGGAACCAAATTCACACCATTATCAAATTCTACTGGGGGGGCTGGGTACCAAACAAATGTCATAGTTGATGTTTCGGTAAGCGGTTCTACGTGGGTCTCTGTATTGCATGGTGGTTCTTGAACGAGTGTTGACCTTTTTATGGTCCCTCCTCATCAACATTTAACCCAGACTTTTTACAGTTTGCTTTAAGGAAGGGTCGGAGCTCAGCAACAGAACGTCTGTTTACATGCAGAAGTCCCATCCCTGGCATTTCCATGTAGAGCCAGAAATGTCCCCACTGAAACCCAGGAATACTTCTGCCAGTCAGTGTAAGACATACTGAGCTAGATGGCTCACTGGCCTGATTCAGTATAAGAAAACTTTCTGCATTCCTACTGGCAACCTACACCCAGCCAAATTATTGCACAGGGAAGTCATGTTTTGTCAGTGATGAATAAAGCCAAACATGTATCTAGACGTCTGAGGAAAAGTGTGTGTGTGTGTGTGTGTGTGTGTTCCTATTGTGCCCTAAAATAGCATTTTAATGATCTTCCTTTTTGTTTTCTTTCTTTAGAAAAAGGAAAGTTTGACTCGACACTGAACTGTAATTGTGCATACCACTTCTTTGACTTTCAGCTACAATGCTAATAGAATTGTATTAGTTTTGAAATAACTGAACTGAATGGTTCATTAATTTTTCACCTTAAGCTTAATGGGAATTTGACAGTTTTATGCTGTGAACAGACACTGCAAGGAGGGCCGTGTTGTCTTCCAGGAAATTATAAATTACAACAGAAAAGGGGGGGGGGAAGCATGTTTGTGCTCAATCAAGAGTTTGGCTTAGTCACCCTGAGTGCAAAATGAGCTCCGTATACAATCTAACAAAGTCAGGGATCCTGTGGCAAGATCCACTGGGAAGAGCAGCACAGGATGCAGCAGATCTCTGGCTCAGTCAGTTGATTGCCACTCAGTTGGCTAACCCAAAGGCGGTTGAGCCAATAGCATTGTAAGCAGTGGCGTAGCGTGGGGGGTGCAGGGGGGGCGGCCGCACCGGGCGCAACATCTGGGGTTAGGGCAAATCCACGGGTCAGGGGGCGCAAATCCATGGGTTAGGGGGCGCAAATTACTTGCCTTGCCCCGGGTGCTGACAACCCACGCTATGCCGCTGATTGTAAGTACGCAAAAAGGGGTGTTTCAGGGGCATGGCAGGGGTGCAGCCAGACCGGGGGGGACGGGATGACTTAGGTTGGATTCTAAGCCCTTTCAGCTCAGTCACAGAACCTGGCATAGAACACTATTTCAAATGCTTGTTTTCCCTCTGCCAGGCTTAAGCAGAGCACCACCAGCAGATTTGGATCAGGTGTGATTTTATGCCGCCTTAAATTACACTGGCTTGCTTTAGACCCCCTTCATGTGCACACGACTAAATAATCTTCTCTGGATTTGTACACTGCAGGTACTCTACATCACTGGTGCACTACCATAGGCCTAGGCATTTATATTTATTGAATTTATTCATTTACTAAATTGGTTATTTATTAAATTTCTACACCGCCCTTCATCCAAAGATCTCAGGGCATGTCACAGCTCAAAAATACAGAATAAAAACTCAAAATACATTAAAAAAAGCAAGAACAAGAATAAAACAAAGCAATAATCCCTCTCCCGCAAACACATTTAAAAGGACGTAAAATGCTAATCAGCTGAAGGTGTCGGGGGCCACCTCCCCATCCTGACCCTCCCAGGGAGGAGGAAGAGGAAGACAGTATAGATTTACAACAGGGGTTTGAGGGAGGTCACAGCTGAGAGGCAGATGAGGGGGGAAAGTTGGGAAATAATGAGAGAGGAGGAGCAATCAGAGCTGGAGCAGCAGCTGGCTGACACATTGTCCCTAGAAAGCATTCCAGTCCCACCATCTCCCAGAACCTGGTGAGCCTTAAAAGTAGGAGAGCAAAGAGCTCGAAGACAGAGGACACTTAGCAGCACGCGTAGAGGAAGTGACGATGAATGAGGATGTGGGAGAGACAGGGGTGGCGGCGATGAACTGGGGACAACACCATTATCCAAGAGGCTGGGTGCTATAGCCTCTCTCTTTCAAGTTTGAAATAAAAAAGGACTGTAAGAAACCTTTCCTTGTCTTTTTGTGCCAGTGTGTTGTAGTGGTTAAGAGCAGTAGACTCATAATCTGGTGAACTGGGTTCATGTCTCCGCTCCTCCACATGCAGCTGCTGGGTGACCTTGGGCTAGTCACACTTCTTTGTTGTAGGGGAGTGTCAGGGAACTGCCATCGGAAAGACAGGAGGTGGAAGGGCTCACAGAGGTTGGGAGAGACTTAGCAGCTGAGGAGGGAACCAGCAGGGGGAGAGAAGGAGCTCCAAGGGAAAGTGAGTCGGAGGGATGGCTCAGAGACACTTCCAGCGAAAACAGTGTGGAGGTTTCAGGACCTCCTATAGGGACACCCACTCCTCGCCGGAAACTGTCATGCCGAGAGTCCAGAAGACGCGTTTCCGTTAAGGAGCTTTTATGCTGGAAGAGATTCCGGAAGCGCCCACTGTCGGATTCTGCTAGCAACTGACGGAGCCATGCTGAAGGGGCTCCGTTATAGACAGAGGTTTGCGGACTTAACCAAACTCTGAGGGACTAGGATTTTTACGCACAAGCAGCTCATCATCCCATCACAGGGAGGAAGGGAAAGGAGAACGTTAGCCGCTTTGAGACTCATTCGAGTAGTGATTAAGCGGGATATCAAATCCAAACTCTTCTTCTTTATACCTTCCTGGGCAACCAGCCGGTAGCCTCTCACAAAAGGCCCCTGTCTCTACAAATACAGCAGTCCTACAGTTCTACTTCATCCCCAAAGGTACGTATACTGATCTAGAGCCACTTTAACACGCCACTGTAAAACACTCCACATGACACCATTGGCGAAATAGTGAGCTATTAATTCCTCATCCCTTTGTCAAAGGGGCAAAGAAATGGCCTGTGGTTTCGCAGAGATGGGATGGGGAAGATTAACTGGCTCCAGCATGGGCAAGGCAGCTGTGGTCCTCAAAAGACTGTCAAAGATTTCAGCTGAGAGAGAGGGAGAGGGTTTCAAGGAAAAGTTGATGGATAGCGAGTGGGTGGCCCTTTCAGCAAAGCAGAAGGAAGGCACGTAGGCGTGTGTAAATGGAAACACTTGAGTTTGCGTGGAGTAAAGAGCAAAATGGAGAAACATGCAAGTTAGGAAACGGCAACATAGATAAAGTTAAACTCAAACATTCTGCTCTGTTGCCAAGGAACCCGCAAGCAGAGGCATGGCCATCTGCCAGCTTGCTGCGTGCATCTTTAGGTAACGGGTGTCGTTAATAAGCAAATGTGAGAACATCCCTAGGTTTCAGTGTAAAAAGGGGGGGGGAATGAAAAATGCAAATGAGACATAATGTAAATCTTAATCTAAAACCAATCTCCCCATGGGCTGAAAGAAGGGACCTCCGTTTTGCAGCTGCCTTTCTAAATATGCTTCCAAAGATGCTTCTCCTTTTTGTTTTTCCTGGAAGCTGAAACGAGTTGTTCTGCCCACTGTGATAGCACTGAGATGGGAGCTGGTACGACATGTGGTTTTAAAAAGGGCGCATTTAAAAACCACATATTGATTTGAGGCATGGCAGAGAGTGAAATGGGCATCTTTCCTGGGGCGCTACCTGCTTTTATGGCAGGCAGAGTGTTTAGTACACAGCTGGAAGACAAAGTAGCCCCAAAGATGTTTTTTAAAAAAATAAAAATAAACCCACTTTGTTTAAAAAGCATTCAATTCATTCATCCCTATTTTCCTTTGACATTTCCTTCACTTCAGTGAGACAAATGTCTATTA